GGGGGGCACCGGTGCCAGAACCAGGGGGGGGGAGAGGGACATGCCCCCCACTTTGTAACATGGGTGTAGTTTGGGGGGGGCAGGGGGTAGCATTGCCCCCCCAAAACTGCGAGCCTCAGGCAGGTTCGGAGTGATACCGGCAGGGGCTGTGCTTCACGCTGGCATTGCCCCCCCAAACTGCCCCTGCTAAAAGGGGGGGGGGTGCATGGCCCCCTAACCTCCCCCCCATTCCAGCACCATAGACGAGACCCTGCAGTCAGATGGGCCTGTGCACGGCTTGGGGACAAAACAGCGGAGGCAGCTATGCTCGATGCCAGGATTTCGCCTCGTGCGCAGGCTCTTGGATTAATTTCTTCTGCCACACAAACGCCAGAAATAGGGAAACGTAACAAACGGGTGAGTCCTGAGCTGGGCTGGATGCTGGGCCCTCCTCCCACCAGCAGCTCCAGGGTCCCGCAGCAGCAGGGGGTCACCAGCTCTACCTGCCCCCCTTGCAGCCTTCCCCTGCTGCTCCGGAACATATTTCAGTTTAGCCCCCCCCCCACCCCTGGGCCTCACTTATAGCTCCCAGCTGGGATTCGGAGCCAGTCATTAGCGGGTGGCCTGGATCAGCTGGGTCCCAACACCCGCCTGCTGGGCTGCTCCTTAGGCCAGGGCATGCTGGTCCTGGCTCTGCGGGGCCTTAAAGGGGCAGCCCCCCTGCTACGGCCCCCGCTGAGCTCAGGGAGCTGCACATAAACAGAGCAAGAGACAGACCCTGCTCCCAAAAGCTAAATAGACAAGACAGACAATGAGTGGGGAGGGGAGATGAACTGTCCAGGATCCCACAGCTGGTAAGGGAACCCTGCCTCCAGGCCTAGGCCTGTGTGCCCCCCCGCGCCGCCTCCCTCTGCTCCCCACCCAGCGCCCTTTCCCTCTGTGTTTGCTGCTTTGTTCCACGGTAGCGGGGGAGGGCCGGCAGGCCAGTGTGAACGTGACTGTTTAGACACAGGATGATTAGTACCCATGTGGAAGCTGGCAGGGAAAGGGTTAACCTTATCCCCAAAGGATGGAGCCCAGCCACCTGCCCTGAGTGCAGGGATCAGGGTTGGGCCAGCCGTGAGTGAGGCCCCCACCTCCCACACAGTACAAAAGGGGTGTGGTGCAGGGGGTTAGCTCTGGCTATGCGGGGCAGGTGGGGCTGTAGGCAGGGAGCTAAGAGGAGAATAAGGAAAGGAAAGGGATCTGATCTGATCCATCTTTTATCCTCTCTGGGGCTTGGCTGAAGCTAAGGAGGTGTGAGACAGGTACCTACTGGCTGAGATAAATCAGCTGCCACAGGGAACTTGTGCAGAAGAGTCCGAACAAAGCTGGCTCAGGAGAGCTCTGGCCACTGGTGTTAATTTTGGATAAAGTGTGGCATGCTAGGGAAATCCCAGAAGACTGAAAGAGTGCTCATGTTGTATTCAGAAAGGGCAAGTGGGACGCCCAGGGTAACTAGGCAGGTTAGTGTTATGTTTCAAGGCCCACAGAGAGACGTTAGATAAAACCATCACTCCTCTTGCTGGAAGGCTGCAACATAACATGACTTTAGTTCTTAGAATCCAGAACAATGACACAAGCCAAAACCAGAGAGAAACAAAGCAGGCTGCTCCCTAAAACAGAAAGGCGCAACTCCCCTTACTTTTCTCTAGGCAGTCCGTCTGCAAACAGGCACTGATCGCCTACTTCTCTACGGAGCCCTCTAACCTGGAAAGACCAGAAAACCTCTGAGAATTTAAAATGACGATTGCTATTTTAACACAGTTTTCAATACACGACAGTTAGCTTGACATCAATCAATCCCGGGGGAAATAATGGAAAAGCTGATACAGGATTTAATCAATATAAAATCAAAGCTAGGAATGCAATGCATGCCAGTCAACGTGGGTTTCTGGAAAATAGGTCTTGTCAGACAAACCCGATTGCATTCTTCGGGGAGGTTACAAGTTTGGTGGTTAAAGGTCACTGCATAGGTGTAAGAGACTTAGACTTTCGTGAGGGGGTTGACTCAGCGCCACAGCACACGAACACTCTGCAATATCAACGGAGGACACGGTCAGTGGATTAAGAGCTAGCTAAGCGAGCGATCTCGAAGGAGCTGCCGCCGGGGAACCCTCATTGCGTGGAGGGGTTTCTAGCGGGTGTCTGCAGCAGGGATCGGGGCGAGGCCCGTTACCGTTCAGTACCTTCGTTGATGGTCTGGTGGAAAGTTAAGGGCCTGTGCTGGACTGGAGGATTGAACGGTCCCAGCTTGCCATCAAGTCCGAACCCCACTTTGACCAGGCTCTGGCTGGAAGAATGGCTATTTCTGGCTGACCCACAAGAGGGGGATGGTTCTGGGGGCTTGCACGACTCTCGAGCCCGGCAGAGAGCGTCTGAACTCCCCCGGGGCTGGCACGTTCCTGCCACAACGACCGGGCTGATCCCCGTGGCCGTCTCGTCCCTAGGGATGCCAGGACCCTGGCTCTCAGGCCTTGTCGAGAGCACAGAGTGAACTCGAGGTCTGTAACGATGCTGCCTCTGGCAGGACACAACTGAGAGTATCGATTCAGGACAAATTGCTTAGAGCAGGGCAGTCACAGCCCGAAGTTGGGTGTCCTTTATTATTAAGGCACCAAACCAGCCAGACAGAGAGGACTTCGGTTTCACCCCACTGGCTAACCATAGGTTATACAAGCAATTCCCTCAGACACTCCAGTTTCCCAGTATCAGCACCAGTGCCACTCGTTATGGGGATGAATGGTTATGAAAACCAATACCCCAGTAAAAGAAAAAAGATTCTCCCAATCCCAAAGGACCAAGCCCCAGACCCAGGTCAAATGATAAATTAGATCTTACCCAAAATACTCACTTATTGCCAATTCTTATTAACTAAAATTTGTTAAAAAAGAAAAGAGAGAGTTGGTTGAAAGATCAATATACAGACAGACTTGAGTTCAATTTCTTGAGGTTCAGATACATAGCAGAGTTGGTGAGTTTGTAGTTCCCAAAAGTTTTTTTAGACATAGTCCAGAGGTTATAGTCCAATGTCCATATTCAGTGACTGGGGATCTCAGTTCTTATGGCCTAAGGCTTCCCTTCTTGAAACCCAAAGCAGATCTGAGATGAAGGATCGTGTCCCAGGGTTTTTATACATTTCCAGCAGCCTCTTGGCCTGAGAAAACAATAGGCTTAACTTTGTCTCCCAAACATCCTGGCAATTAGCACAGGGTAATTTATCCATTAAACAGTTCAGATTCAGGTTACCCCATCTTCAAAGAGACATAGAGACAATAATACTATTTCACTCAAGTGTCTTCCTAAACGGTAATACTCCCTTTTTGATCTTTGAATCAGTAATAGACAAGACTTGTTTGCTTACATCACAAGCCCTGAGCAAACAGCTCCCCTTCTACCTCTGACAAGGCGGCTGCATTTCAAAGCTCTATTAATTTACAGATCTTCCTAACTAGTCTTTAAAGTTCTGCCATGGGTCAGGTCAGTCTGGGAGGTAATTAACTCTTTCTGGCCCTGTCACCTTTCAATGAGCTATTATATTACACTCCTAACATCACAAGCTCCTAACACACACCCAGCCTGGGGCCTGATGCTCACCTGAGTCTCCCACTCTGCTCTGGCCCCTTGCTTGTGTCTAGGCTGGTGGGGAGGCTCTGTGTGACCGCTGGCACAGCCCAGCCCACGTGGCACTGACAGCAGGCGCTGCAGGAGAGGCAGCTGAGGGTCTGTTCTGCCAGCCTGTCGCGGCCCCGAGGCAGCCTCCCTCTCCAGGTGGGCATTGCAGCTCTTACCCTGCCAGATCCTGCAGAGGGGGGGTAGGGCCAGAGCCGCGGTCAGGCCTGAATGCTGGTGCCCTCTGCTCCCCAGCCTAGCCGTGGCCCCTGGCAGCCGGGGCTGGTGCTATCAGTGGAGCAGAGGTTGCTGTTTGCTCAGCTGGGTGCTAAAGCCGTGGGTTAGAGCAGGGATCGGTGCCACCTCCCTGGGCGGGCAAGGAGAGAGCAGCTGGGCTACCGCCCCCCCACCCCCGAGCTGGCCATGGGTCTCCAGGAAATGCTCGGGGCCCCAATGCTGTTGCATGCTGCACCTAGGCAGCGTTTGTGTGTCAGCCAGGAGAAGCCGGGCGGGGGCAGGGAACCCAGCGTTCTGCACGGGGAGGCACTCCAGTGTGTTGCACTTGGAGCCAGGACTCCTGGGTCCTCTCCCCAGCTCTGTTGCTGGGAGGCCTGGGGCAAGCTACTCCCTTGCTCCGTGACTCGGTTTTCCCATGGGAAGGGTGGCTAATAACACCCCTTCTGCTGCACCCACCCAAGTCCCTTTCCTGGAGCAATGTGCTCAGTGGGGGTCTCTGGGGCCTTCTCTCTGTCGCCCTCCTGCAGAAGCTACGGTACTGCCTTGCTTAGGGCTGTCAGCAATGCTGAGATGCTGTTCAAACAGAGCCGCCGGCAGCTCTGGGCCTTTGTGCGTCTCTTCTAAAGGCCACACCCTAGTCAGTAAGTCCCACAGTGCTCCTGGGGAGGGACCTGTCACCCCATCCCACCTTACAGAGGGGGAAACTGAGGCATGGAGTGGGGACGAGCCCTGCCCAAGCTCACACAATGAATGGGTGGCGGTTGAACCCTGGAATCCTGACTCTCAGCTCCTCCTGCTGTAACCACTAGACCCCACTCCCCTCCCAGAGCCGGGGATAGAACCCAAGAGTCCTGGCTCCCAGCTTCCCCCTGCTCTAACCGCTAAATCCCACTCCCCTCCTAGAGCTGGAAATAGAACCCAGGAGTCCTGGCTCCCAGCCCCCCTGCTCTGGCCACTAAACCCCACTCCCCTCTCACATGGCCCCAGTGCACCATTGTGATGTCCCACAGCACCGCGGCGCTCCCTGCGAGGTCAGCGTGTAACCGAGGGAACGGGGTGCCTACATTCTGGGGGGGAGGTTCCGGGGGTCTCGGAGAGCCCTGGCTGTGCGGGGGGCTCACACAGCCACCGCCATGATCCCTGCCAGGGGGGTGCCACGCTGGGTCCTGCCCAGCCTCCTCGCTTCCTTTCACTTCAGCTCCCTCGTGGCCCTGAGCGGCCTGTTCTTCTCCTTCCCGTAAGCAGGGCGTCCGGTTCGAACCCCCACTGGCTCAGCTGCACCGGGCGCTGTAATGGCCGCCCGCCCGTTCCTCCAGGCAGGAATTACAGCTCCTGACTGCTGGGCGTGGGCAGCCGGGACCTCACGGGTGCTTTCCCGGACAGGCGTTTATCCCGGTGCCCTTAGCCAAAGCCTCTCCCACTGCTGCCTCCACCCCAGAGGGGGCTGCAATCTGCCCTAAGGCGACCCTTGAACGCGTACAGACTGCGGAGTGCTTGGAGCTGCCCTGGGGAGAGGGGGGATGAGGACGAGGTCAATCCCAGATGGGCAGGCACCTTTGTGACCCAGCCCTGCAAACCCCACCTGCCCCCGAGCCCCGGCCGGTTATTGACCTACACTTCCTGGAAGCCAGCTCCGCCAAGGGCACAGCTTGGCAAGGGATCAGAGGGGACACAGGGTGATCTGGCCTGGCTGGGACAACGCCTCCCCCTCAGAGATGAGTCACCGGGGACAAGGGCAGCTGAGCAGGCCCAGCGAGGCAGAGGGGTGAGGCCCTGGAGTGCCAGGCCCTGCTGGGCATGGAGAGAGGGCTGGGATGTGCCTGATGAATTTAGCACATGCTCCCCAGCACCTGAGCCTGTCCCCCTGGCAGGCAGAGCAGCTTGTGCTATGGGTCAGAGCCCCCTGGGGTGTCAAGAGGCCCAAGGCCTGTGGGGAGCCAGCCGGATAGGGGAGGGTTCTTCGTTCGCACGGTGTCTGTGTCGGGTTCAGAGCCATGCTGGGGCGGCCCTGCCAGCTGTAGATGGATTTCACTAGCCAGTGCGCAAATCCCCCAGAAGTCAGCATTGAAAGACAGAGCGTTCAGCCTCTGGACCTAGGCCCTTGTGCACCAGCCAGCGCCAATGAACCCCCTGCACAGCTGGGCGGGTTGGCCCCATTTTACAGATGGGGAAACTGAGGCATGGAACCAGAGTGAGGTCAGGGGCCGACTCAGACGGCGTCAGCACCGGAGGCGGGATTAGAGCTCAGGGCCGCGCTGAGCCCATCTCTCCCACACACCCACTGAGACTCTAACTTCTCCATGGCAACTATCCCGCCAGCTGGGCAGGGTGCCAGGGCCAGGGACGGGCCGCAGCAGAGTCCACGCCTGCCAGGGACGGGCCGCAGCAGAGAGGACACGAACCCTGGTGCCCAAATCAGATCAGTCCTTCCCTGAGGGTCAGAAAAGTCTGGGCCCCTTCTCCCCGGTTATTTTCACTGGGTCCGTCTCCACGGCGCCTGGGGGTGCACCTCCCCGCCCGGCACCACAGACGTGTACTCGTGCTTCGTTGGTGCCACGTGGGCTCTCAAGCCCACCCCCACCCCCAGCAGGAGGGGCTGAGCGGGAATGGCTGCCCCACCTCAGGAAGAGGGTCAGGGGTCTGCAGTGGCCACACATGGCCTCTATCTCCCCTTCCTCTGGGTGCTGGCAGATCCTGAGGGTGCAGCCCCCCATCCCCAGCCCTGCTGGCGTCTTTCTCTGCCAGCCAAGAACTGAGCAGCTCCCCCTGCTTAGCACCCAGAGCTCGCTGGCTGCAGGCTGCCACCCTCCCCTCTCTTTCGGTTTCAGATGCAGCTGGCTGGCCGTCCACGTGTCCCTGGCTTTCCCCCTGGTCACGGGCATCCTTTTCATCCCAGCCGTGGCCAACCTCCTGCTGGCCAGCTTCACGGACCCCGGGATCCTTCACCGAGGTAACAGGAGCACGGCCCGGGCTCCCGAGGGGAGGGCCAGGCAGCTGGGCCCTGTAGGCAGAGAAGGGACAGCTGGTCTTTGCTGTGAGGGCTGTGCAGTTCTCCCTGGCCCTCCAGCTCCCAGGGTGGAATGCCTCAAGTCACCGTCCAGGGTTTCCCTGGGTCCTGCAGAAGCCTAACTTACGGGCAGGACAGGGACGGGCACCTGACTGCCTCCCAGTGCCCCCCGTGGAGCCGCTCACCCAGCCACGGCTGCACAGACAGAGGCTGGAAGCCAGCAATGAGCAAATCTGCTTGACAAACATAACGTATTAAATCCCTGGCCTCTGGGAACTTGGGGTTAGAGATGAGGTGCGAGCTCAGATCCTCATAGCACAGCCCCAGCCACTGGCGCTGGGGCGACTCCTCCGCAGCTGTTAGCAATATAGGGTCTATGACACGCTGTTGAGCAGTGACATCTACGTCCAGCAGAGGGCAGGATGCACAGATGCATTCGGCCGTTCCCTTCAATAATGAAAGCCACGTTCACCGTGCAATGCTCCGTCTCGGGTGGGGTGGCAGCACCTCCCCACTACCGAATAAGGGCCGTCGTGGGCCTGGCTGCAGCACGGCGGGCCGGCATCCTGGCTGCCAGCAATGAGTCAGAAAGAGCAGGAGGGAAAAACCAAAGCAAGAAAGAATCCAAGTAAAGTCCCCTCAGAGGCACACAGCACGCATGACTGCAGCGGTCTGCACTGAGCGGAACAGAGCGTCCCTGGATGTACAAGTGCAGGCCGCAGCCAGACCAGTCCCACCCAGCGCAGCTGCCAGTTTCTGCTCCTGTGGCCCAGGGCGGGGAGGGGGGTCTAGACACATCCTGGCCTGGAGGGGGATCTGGTAACCAAGGCTCCCTGAGAACGTGGCCTTTCCCTGGCCCTGGCACCCAGGAGGCCTGGAATGGCTCTGTCCCAAGCTGGCTTTTCCAGTGAGGCTGCGCTGGTGCGAGGGGCCAGCCGGGCAGCGCCAGAGGCAGACATGCCCACAGGAACCCACGCAGCCTGGACAGAGGCAATGCAAGCTCCCCACTGGGCCCAGCCAAGGGCTCAGGCGGGCCTGTCTGGCCCAGCCAGTGCCGTCGGTGGTGGGTGTGTGACTGGCATGGCTGTCCCCTAGGAGCCAGGCTGAGGCCCTCCAAACTCCCCACACACCGGCTACAAGGCGGGACGCCTCCGAGTCTCCCAGCCAGTGCCGGTGGATTTCCGTGGCCTTCCACTACAAGCCACTGTCCCCTGCCCTCCAGCATCCTCGCTTCACCTGCCTCCTAGCACCGCAGATCTCCTGGCAGCCCCACTGCCCGGGCATGGGCCACAGCCGGCTTCTCTAAGGGCAGCCTAGCGCCCCCCACGGGGACAGCAAAGCACCGTGGAGCTGGGAGCTGGGTCCCGGGGCTGGGCAGAGGGTCCAGGGAACAATACACAACCTCCCTTGCCCTCATCGGTGCTTTGCGCTGTACATCAGGGCAGGGTCCTTGTTCCCCGGCGCTGCACGGCCAGCCCAGCTCCCCAGCCTGCTTTGAGCTCCCTGCCCAGCTCCTTCTGAGGCTGGTGTCGGGCCAGGCCCTGTCGCTGGGAGTCACCCCACAGGCTCACCCCACACTGTGTCTCCCGGAGCCAGGGGCCGAGGGCCGGGCCGGGTTAGTGATCCAGGCGCTTCGTGTCAAGGAGAGACGCTTCGATCTGCACTGGTGCCAGAAGTGCCAGTACTACTGCCCGCCACGGACCTTCCACTGCCCCTGGTGCAACGTCTGTGTGGAGGTGAGGCCGGCGGGGCTGCGCTCGGTACCCTAGCCTGGGAGCCTGCTAGCCCACCCGTACGCCCGAATACACACGCCGGCACAAACACAGCCACACACGGTCACAAACACAGACACCCTGCACACACAGCCCCACACCACGTCCATAAGCCCATATACACACGCCGGCACAAACACAGCCACCCTGCACATGCAGATCTGTACCCGGCCCATGCACCCGTATACACACGCCGGCACAAACACAGCCACCCTGCACACGCAGATCTGTACCCGGCCCATGCACCCGTATACACACGCTGTCACAAACACAGCCACCCTGCACACGCAGATCTGTACCCGGCCCATGCAGCCGTATACACACGCTGTCACAAACACAGCCACTCTGCACACGCAGATGTGTACCCGGCCCATGCACCCGTATACACCCGCTGTCACAAACACAGCCACCCTGCACACGCAGATGTGTACCCGGCCCATGCACCCGTATACACCTGCTGTCACAAACACAGCCACCCTGCACACGCAGATCTGTATCCGGCCCATGCACCTGTATACACACGCCATCACAAACACAGCCACACACCGGCACAAACACAGCCACCCTGCACACGCAGATCTGTACCCGGCCCATGCACCCGTATACACACGCTGTCACAAACACAGCCACCCTGCACACGCAGATCTGTACCCGGCCCATGCACCCATATACACACGCTGTCACAAACACAGCCACCCTGCACACGCAGATCTGTACCCGGCCCATGTACCCGTATACACACGCTGTCACAAACACAGACACCCTGCACACGCAGATCTGCAGCTCCCCCATAGACTCACAGTCACGTACACCGCCTGAGCCCTCCCACACCTGTTCCTACTTCCCCATTAGCCGTAGGACAGGCTGGCTCACCGCGACACTGGGTCAACGGCTGCAGCTGCTCCTGGAGGGGGGCCAGCGCTGACATCGGGCACTTTCCCTGCACCCCCAGGAGTTCGACCACCACTGTAAGTGGCTGAACAACTGCATTGGCTGCCGCAACTTCCGCTTCTTCTTCCTGTTCGTGGCCTTCCTGTGCGGCTACAACGTGGTGGTTCTGGCTTCCTGCATCACCTACCTGGTGCTCAACTCCCACCAGGCCTATGGCGCCGAGAAGATCTGTGCGTATCCTTGGAGAGACGAGCCAGGGCGTCCCGCTGCCACGGGTCCCTGAGCACCCAGCCCTGGGCGTCCCCCTGCCACAGGTCCCTGAGCACCCAGCCCTGGGCGCGCAGCTGGCACAGAGCACCCACCCCTGGGCGCGCAGCTGGCACAGAGCATCCACCCCTGGGCGCGCAGCTGGCACGGAGCATCCACCCCTGGGCACACAGCTGGCACGGAGCACCCACCCCTGGGCACACAGTTGGCATGGAGCACCCATCCCTGGGTGCACAGCTGGCATGGAGCACCCACCCCTGGGTGCACAGCTGGCATAGAGCACCCACCCCTGGGCACGCAGCTGGCACAGAGCACCCACCCCTGGGCACGCAGCTGGCATGATGTAAACGCACTGAGATTCACCCCACACAGGCCAGGCCAGGCTCCAGGGGGCTGGGGCTGATCTTTGTGGTCCTTCAGGATGTCACACACACGCACACACAGGCTGTGTCCCACACTCAGTGGGAGGGCAGAGGACTCGCCCCTCAGACCTGGCTTTATATCCTTCCCTTACTCTCCTGCTGCCAGCATCATGGTGACCATCCCGGCCGCTCTCTACCTGCTGCCCCTCCTGATCCTGGTGGGATCCCAGGCCAGTTTCATCACCCTCGCTAAACGCACCTATGAGCTCAAGGTATGGGGAGGAGGGATCCCAGCCTGGGGCTCAGGGCGTGGGAGCAGCAGCTGGTGGCGGTACAACCAGAGGGTAAAAGCTGCTCCAGGCTCTAGTCATGGGGAATCTGTCCAATAAAACAATTTGTGTGCGGGCACGTGTGTGTGTGTACATACGTGTGTACATGTGTGTGTACGTGTGCATGCATACATGTGCATGCGTATGGTGCATGTGCATGCAAGGGGCCTGATCCTGCAGCTCTGCTGCCTGCACTCCTGCCCCCCCGACCCTCTTTCTCATCACTGGGATTCTTGCCTGCTCAGGCCCGCGTCAAAGGCGCCTGTGTGTGAGGCTGGGGGCACTTCGGGGGGGCTCTGGCTCAGTCCGCTAGGACTGACTGGTGCGCAGCGGTTGCATAACCAGCCCGGTTGCTCCAGCGCTTGCCAAGCCAAGCGGCTCGTGTGTGTTTTGGCGCGCTCACACGGCGCCCTTTGCTTTCCCAGCTGCGCGCCCGCCCTGGGAGCCCCTGAGTCTCGCTGGCTCTGAGAGCCGGTGCGTGCGCTGGGGATGGGGGGCTCGGGGCCGGCCTTGAAGAGACAGACCTCGCCCTGCAGGGTCCCTTCCAGGCCATCAGCCAGCCTGGTGGGGACATCAGTGCCGCTGGCTGACGGGCACACGGGCTGGAGGCTTGGCCTCAGGAGGGGCTAGGCCAGCCATGCTCAGGGCACAGCCCCGGCGGCAATGGGGCCAGGATGCAGTTGACGGCCACAGTGCAGTGTTAGCGCCTCGGAGGCACGGCCCTGCAGGCGTCGTCCTCGCTCTGACACGGGCCTCCAGCAAAGCATCGTCCTCCCCAGCTTGTTACGCTCTAGCCAGTCCCTGCCTCTGAAACTACAGCCGGTGCAGGTGCCAGCGCTGACCAGCGGAGGGCGCCCTGCGTCCCTCCTGTGCCAGAGCCCCGTCCCCTGTGGGGGAGCACTGGTCCAGCACTCCCCAGCTCACCGCCTGTTGGGTCTCTTCTGTTCCCAGCTTCGCGAGGAGAGCAGAGCAAATCCCTTCGACTTGGGATGGGCCAGGAACTGGTACGCGGCCCTGTGTGCCCCACAGGGACCCAAGTGAGTGCAAGGCCCCAGATTAACCCCCCCTCCCGTCACAACCCCATGGCTGGGGGACCAGCCGGGCTGCTCCCGGCTGGGGGTGCCGGGGCGAGCTGAGAACGCAGGCGATCGGCTGCAATCCCTAACCCCAGCCCAGGCAGGGACAGGACGCACCAGCCCTGGGAAGCCCCCGCTTTAAGAACTGTGGCGGCTGGGCTGAGTCATTGACCACCGGTGCCTCCTCCCTGGAATCTTATACATATTCTCTTGCATTAGGGCCCAGGGGCCCCAGTCAGGATCAGGGCCCTGTCGTGCTAGGCGCTGCATAAACATATACGAGGAATTGGTCCCTGTCCCAAAGAGCTTCCAATCTCAGCAGACAAGCACCATCCCGGGGCGGCGGAGGGAGTGGGGGGGACGGGATGTATGAGTGATCGAGGTGGCCGCGTGCACACGTCCCAGGAAAAGTCCCTGGACAGGAGCCGCGCTGTTTGCCGAGGGGCTTTCCCAGTGCTCCATCCCCCCGCCATGCTGTACTGAGCACCGAGCGTTATCGGTGACTCGCCAAGGGGGGATTTCTGCAGGGAAGGGCGGCTCCCATCTGGCCTTGCTGGGAATCACACACTCGCCTGCACCCTGCTGCCTGGCAGACGAGCCTTTGTGGACACCCCGTGGCTCTCTGGCTCCCAGCCTGGGCCGCCCCGGGGCCGTGCTCTGGACTCAGCACTCACGCAGGGGCCAATTCACCACCATTCCCAGACCGGTTGGGGTTCCACTATAGTGGGTCCCCGGTTCTAGCTCTGCATCGGCTGGGGCTCTGCCTTTAGAGCCTGCTTGCTGTGACCAGCGGGCATGGGAGCAGCTGCCTTCTGCCCGTCCAGGTACATGGTTAGAGCCGCCGAACCCAAGGCAGCGACCCGCAGGGGCAGGAAGGCCCCCGTGGCCCGGCTCCTTCCCCAGATGTCACGCCTGAACACGGCACCTCCTGGACTCTCATCCCACCGCTGCCCCCAGAACCTGCCTGGCCAGAGGCGGGCAGCCCAGGTGCGTGGCTACTTGTTCTCTGCCATGGGAAGCCTCCTGCAGGGCAGGGTCCCTGTGGGAGCCACGTCTCACAAGCAGCCTGCCCCGGAGGGGAGGGCTCAGCCGGGGTTACCAGTGGCCACCGGAGGCCGTCCCAGAACTAGCTGCACAGCTCTCTCCTTAATGGACCTTGTGCCCCTTTCCCTGTCCGGAGCGAGGGCAGCCTGGCTCCAGGCCTTGAGCCCAGCACCATAGAACACCCTGGCATTCCCGGCTCCCTGGCCTCAGGAATGTCTGGAAGCAGCAGCAGCGTCCGGCCCCTCCCAGGTGGGATTTCACCTGCTCCCGAGAGGTGCGGCTGCCCTTAGCCCCCATTGAAGCCACAAGGGGGGGGACATGGGAGAGGTGCCAACGCCAGTGGTGGGCATGTCACTTTCCATTTGCACCTTGGCTCGGTGCGTCTCTCTGCAGGCTGGCGCCAAGGGGACCTGGTGGCCGGCAAGCCCAGAGAGGAAGACGAACGTGGCGATGACAGGTGAGCAGAACCTCCCAGATCGCTCCCCGGTCTCACCCAGCGTGGCACCCCCAGAGCCCTGCTTTCCTCCGGTCTTAGCTCTGGGGCTTCACAAAGTCCAGGGGTAAAATCTCCCCCCCCCCAAAATCAATGGCAAAACTCCCATTGACTTCAGTGGGGGCCAGAATCTCCAAGCACTTTACAAAGGAGGGCAATATCTTCATCCCCATGGTACAGCAGGGAAACTGAGGCACTGAGAGGGGAAGTGACATATCAAAGGTTCCCAACAGGCCAATGGCAGAGCTGGGAATAGAACCTATGTCTCTCAGTCCACTGGTCCATCCCCTAGGCCACATGACTCGCCTTTTGTACCCCTGAGGCTTTTCCTTTGCCATTCAGGCAGTAAGGCTGGTGGGAGGTTGTGACAGAGACGGGAAACGTCCCACCCAACAACACAGAGGCCGAGGTTTTCGTGTTAAAAGGAAAAGACTTGCCAGGCATGCCGGAGGCTTCGCTGTGTCTCTTTTCCACTGGCGCCATGTGAGTAGCTGTCATGAGCCTTGGAGGAAGGTTCGTCAGCTCCGTTCATGGCCGGGCTGGTCGGCATTTTCCGCGTTTTGATTTCTTGCTGCAGTTGTTGGCATTTCAGCAACTCCAATGCAAAACATCAATACAAACGTTCAGAGCAATGCTTGGAGCTTCTCCCCCACCGCTTGCGCTGGCCGATGCGGTTCCATCCTGGGAAACACTTTGTCACACACTTCGAAACAGACTGAAAACCCTTTCAATGAATTAGACGATCTTCACAGAACTGTTTGCTGTTTTCTTCTCCCGGCTCCAACTCGCGGATTGAGAGGCCAGAAGGGACAATTATGCTCATCTAATGTGACGTCCTGCATAGCACAGGACAGAAACACTCACCCAATGAAAAACTGAAATCGATTTTAACAAGAACAGAGTTAGAGTTAATTCAGATCCTACCCCACCACCCACCCACATTTCCTGCCATTTTTGAGAGGTTTACAATCACAGTTAACTATTTTTAAATGTTTCTGCTCCCCTGTTGCTGTGTGAAGGACTCACACAATCAGCAGGGAAAAGGAAATCTGACTAAATAAGCTATAAAGGGGAAGTGGTGAAAATGACATATAAAGGAAACTGACAAATGAAAGAGAAATATTTTTTCTCTTTAAATTTTAGTCACCTTCAGGGGCTTTCGGTAGCAATGACGGGAGGAAAATGTGCAGGCAGAAAGGTGATTATTAAGTTGACGTCACTCTGAAAGCATTTAAAGGCGGCAAAACACCAACATACGTTTAACAGATGGATCGTGGTTTTATACATTATGGGGTGGAATGTCCCGTTTGGAGACATCCCATTTGAAATCCATTTGCCGCAGGAAAACACAGAATTTGTGTTTTTACAGAGAATCTTTAGCTTTTACATTTTGTAGAAAAAAAAAAAAAAAACCAAGACAGTAGGCCCCCGTTTTTCCGAGTCTCCATTATCCAGCTCTCCGAATTAACCTAACCAGGACTGACTGCCCGTGCCCTGCCACCCAGGGCTTGGGCTGTCAGCCCCGGTTCAGGTCATACGGAGCGCCGGATAATGGAGACTCGGCGAAACGGGGTTCTGCGGCATATCGATACCTGGACATATGGTGGCTGAGGAAACTAACGTTCAGCGTTTCGTTTTAATTGCGGAAAAACACGGCTTTGAATGGCTTTTTATCGGAGAACTTTGAGCTCCCTGCTGATGACCAGGCTTTCGTAGAACTCCTCTCAGCGCTGCACGCATCTGTACACAAAGCAAAGGGGTGACCAAGACTGTGACTTAGCATGAAACCGCCCCACAGTCCC